TTTTAATTAAAAAATTTATATTTAGTGTGTGTGTGTGTGTGTGTGTGTATGTGTGTGTGTGTGTATGTGTGTGTACATGCAAATAATTAATGGGAGTTGATTCTCTCCACTATGTGGGTCCTGAGGATTGAACTCAGTCACCAGGCTTGACCACGGCACCTTTACCTTCTGAGCCATCTTGTTAGTCTGTTTTCTTATTTATTTTTATTTTTATAAAGTTTCATGTAGCCCAGGCTGGCCCAAACTCACTGTGTAGCAGAGATCCTCTTGCCTCTGCTTCCTGTATGTGCCACCATTTTGGTGCTGGAGATTGAATACAGGGCTTTGTACATGTCTGGCAAGCACTCTGCCACATCCCCAGCCCCTATTAATAAAAATTATTATTATTATTATTATTATTATTATTTGTCTTTTTGAGACAGGGTCTCTCTGTAGCCCTAGCTGTCCTGAAAAATTCTTTTTGGTTGAGGTAGCGTCCTACTCTGTAGCTTAGACAGAATTTGAAACTTGTGGCAATCCTTCTGCCTCAGCCACCCAAGTTTAAAGGCATGTGTCGCCATCCCCAGCTTCCTTCCTCTTCTTGGGGTCACTACTGGAGACTCTGCCCCTTCTGCTTGGGGATCTCCCAGTAGGCAATTTAGTGACTGTGTCTGGAATGCTGGGGGCCTTGATTTTGCCCCACTCAAGCACTAACTTTGGGGTTGTGTGGAAGTCAAAGTCCCTCATCTGTAAAATAGACCATTGATTTTTTTTTCCCTTATGCCCAGCCCCTGTCAGTGGGATTATCAAGGTGGGCACTTAAAAAATGTATTACAGGGGCTGGAGAGATGGCTCAGCGGTTAAGAACACTGGTTGTTCTTGCAGAAGACCCGGGTTCGAATCACAGCTAACAACTGTCCGTAACTCCAGTCCTGGGGGATCTGATAGCCTCTTCTGACCTCTGTGGGCATTGCATGACACGGGTGCACTTACCTACAGGCAGGCAATACACAAATACACATAAAATAATAAATAAAATATTTTAAAAAATGTGTTACAGGGCCGGGCGTGGGCGCACACCTTTAATCCCAGCACTTGGGAGGCAGAGGCAGGTGGATCTCTGTGAGATCGAGGCCACCTTGGCCTACATAGTGAGTTTCAGGCCAATTGGGGCTACAGGGAGATCCTGTCTCAAAAAGATAAAAAAAATGTATTATATTTGTGTGTGTGTGTGTGTGTGTGTGTGTGTGTGCGCGTACGTGCGTGTGTGCATGCGTGCATGTGTGTGTGTGATGGTACATATATAGAAGTCAGCGAACACTTTGGGAGTCAGTTCTCTCCTTCCACCACCTGAGTCCTGGGGATTGAACTCAGGTTGTCAGGCTTGGCAGCAAGTGCTTTGACTTGCTGAACCATCTCACCAGCCTGGTGTGGGCACTTTGAATCACCGTCCTGCCTTGCTCTGGGCTATAGCTTCCTCTTCTAAGTAGTATTTGTGTATGTGTATGTTGGGGAGGGTAGTTAATGGCAGAGGGTATCTGGAGCCCTCAGTTTAAATCCTGGCTCTGCTGACTGGGAAGGGGAGAGCTGTCTTGTCTCCCTGGGGTGAGCTGAGGGCTGATTCTCAGATGGGCCCTAGGTCTCTGAGACAGATCCCTTGCAGGGGGAGGGAGGCCTCAACTGCATTTATTGCTTTCAATGCTCTTTTTGAGCTGGTGGACCTCATAGGGTCGGGTCTGCCTGGCTTGGTCCAGGTGAATAAGCTCACTGTTTGGGGCACCTCTCCTCTGTCATTGGCTGGATTGAACCAGTGCTGCTTCCCCGACATGCCTGGGGAGGTCTGTCATGGCTGGGAGTCCCATGGACCGGGAGCCCTAAGGGATGGACGCTCGCCTGGGTATACTAGGAACCAGGTTTCAGAGAACCTGAGTTTCAGGGGGCTTGGGGACAGGATGAAGCCTTGGACAGGGCTAGATGCCTGGGGTCTGGAGCATGATGGGAAAGGCTACCTCAGGAGGTCTTGCTGAACATGAGTGTAAATTCACACAGGACTGAGGCAGGGTGGGCGAATGTCTAGGCTAAGGAGACTCTGGGTAGAGGCATGATACTCTAGAATGCCCCAGGAGGGGCACCCTTCCTCCGGGCCTGGCTCTCTTGTTAGCTGTATCTGCCTTCCAGGGCTTGAGCTCAGGCAGGGACCACTGTGGCCGAGAGCCTACGCTCCTCTAGCTCTTCCCCATGTGCCTCTCTCTGCCCCGTGCCCAGTGCTCCTGCCGTGTCTTGGGGACGTGGCTTCTGAGCTCAAACTTAGTGTCTCTAGCCAGATCGCACACATCAGGTGACTGGGGGTGGGCGTATTAAGGCCAAGTGACCTGGTGACTTCATGAGCTGGCATGTGCGGTAGTGTTTTCATCTCCCCTTGATGGTCAGGCTAGCTCAGAGTGGGCCGAGGCTCAGGCGGGAGGGCCCAGACTCTACCTCTCACCCAGACTGTACCTTTCACCCTGTCCTGCATCTCCACAGCCTGTTCCAAGCTCACCTGGGGTCAGTAACCCTGTCACTTTGAATGGTTTCTCCTGAGGCGCTGGGCCCCATTCCTAGCTCAGCCTTTTGCTAGCTTGGTGACTGGGTTGTCTGGAAACCTCTCTGAGCCCAAGTTGGGGGTGTAAAGAAGGCTCAGTAGAGAAGCCCGCCTGGCCTGTGTGCCTGGAATGTGGCTTCGGCTCTGGCCTGTGTAGTGGGCGAGCTTGCAGTGTGAGGCTGGAGGGTGGGCTCTGTATTCCCAGCTGGTCACATGTAGTCAGGAAGTGGAGGTGCTGCTGCTCAGCTCACTTTCTCGTTTTGTATTCAGAACCCCAGCCCTAGATGGTGCTGCCTACAGTTAGAGTGGGTCTTTCCACTCCCATTAACCCCATCTAGAGACTTCCTCATGGGGCTGGAGAGATGGCTCAGCAGTTAAGAGCACTGGCTGCTCTTGAAGAGGACTTGGGTTTGATTCCCAGCTAACAGCTATTAGTAACTCCAGTTCCAGGGGAATCCAATGCTCTCTTCTGACCTCTGTGGGCACACAGGTGCACTTATGTACTGTGCAGGCAATATACTCATACACATAAAACATGTTTAAAAAGAAAAAGAGACTTCCTCACAGCCATGCCTAGAGGTTGACAATATTAAGTATCACACCTCAGGACACCTTGTGTCCAGAACCATGACAGTGACTTCCCTCTTCCTGGCCACTTTGATTCACAGCTGGGGAGGTGAGGAGGCAGGAAGACAGAGAGTATGGCCAAGGGCAGGGAGTTGCCTAGGCAGGAGAGTGGCCTGGGATGGGGGGGTCTTCTGGGGACACATGGATCTGGCTTCAGGTAATAGTGGGTTTGTTTTAAATTACATTTTCTTGATTGATGCCTGCGTGTGTGTGTGTGTGTGTGTGTGTGTGTGTGTGTGTGTGTGTGCACCCTTGTGCCATAATGAGCTTGTAGAGTCAGAGGACCACTTGTAGAAGTCGGTTCTTCTTTCATTCCTCCATATGAGTCCTGGGGACTGAACTGAGGTCATCAGGCTTGGTGGCAAGCACCGTTGCTTGCTGAGCCATCTCGCTGGCCCCAGGTTGTGGCTTTGCTATTCACTAGCAAGGGGCTAGCTGAGCCTGAGCCTCACTTTCTCAATCCACAAAATGGACACAGTACAGCCCCTATCTTTCAGGGAGGGCAGTGTGAGGAGTGAGGGACATAGTGCTTACCTGCCAGCTGGCCTGGCTGCTCTGGCTGCGCTCTCTGCTGAGGTTGTGACCCTGGAGTTAGACATGGGCTCCATCTGTGTTCACCCGTGGGCTGTGCCACCCAGACCAGCCTCACACTCTCTCAGTCAGAATGCTCTGTCTATACAGAGAGGCAGTCACCTCTGCCTGGTGAGGACAGGCTGATGGGCAGTGCAGGTGTATCAGCCACTTGCTGTTGCTGTGGTAAAGTACTCAGGATGGACAAGGTGTGGGAAGGAGGACATGTTGGCTCACAGGTCCGGAGGTCTCTGTTCATGGTCAAACTGGTGCCTTTGCTTCTAGGTCTGTGGTGGGGCAGAGCATCAGAAAGACATGGGCTAGGAAAGCTGCTCGCCTCAGGGCAGGGGGAGAGAGAGAGAGAGAGAGAATGAGAATGAATCCTTTGTCATCTCCTTCCTCCATCTAGTTCCTGCTTCCTAATAGCCTAATAGTTTGATCATCAGTGGATTACCCCTCGGGTGTGATGTGGCTCAGTTGGTGGAGTGCTTGCCCAGCACACATGAAGCCCTCGGTTCGATCCCCAGCACTGCATAAGCAGCATGGTGCTACACACCTATTGCATAGGAGGTAGAGGTATAGAGGCAGGAGGATCAGA